CTGTTGTCCCAGCTACTCGGGAGGCTGAGGCAGAAGAACCGCTCGAACCCAGGAAGTGGAGGTTGCAGGGAGCCAAGATTGCACCACTGCACTCCAGCCTGGCGACAGAGCAGGACTCCATCTCACACACACACAAAAAATATATTTATAATTGTGAAAGGTTCAATTCATCAAGAAAATATGACAGTACTAAAGATATATGTACCTAGTAGCATAGCCCTAAAATATATGGAGAGTAAAATTGTCCAGAATAAGCAACCCTTCTCTGTATACAAAAAAACCAAAGGAATCAATGAATAAACTATTAGAAATAACAAATTGGTATAATAAGGTTGCAGAACATAAAATGAATATATAAAAATCTATTGTATTTCTATCCACCAGCAATGAATAATCTAAAAATGAAAGTAAGAAAAAAATCCTTTTTATAACATCAAAAAAATAAAATTCTTAGCAATAAATTTAATACAAATTGTTCAAGACTAATACAAGTAGTTCAAAACTACAAAATATCATTTAAAGAAATTAGGAGGCTGGATGCTGTGGCTCATGCAGGAGGCTGAGGTGGGTACATCACTTTGAGGTCAGGAGTTTGAGACTAGCCTGGGCAACATGGCAAAACTCCGTCTCTATAAAAAATACAAGAAGAAATTAGCCAAGCGTGGTAGCAAATGCCTCTAGTCCTAGCTACTCGAGAGGCTAAGGCTGCAGAATCTCTTGAACTTCGGAAGTGGAGGTTGCAGTGAGCCGAGATAGCACCACTGCACTCCACCCTGTCTCAAAAAAAGAAAAGAAATTAGGACTGGGTGCAGTGACACACATTTGTAATCTCAGCACTTAGCACTTTGGGAGGGTATAAAGTGGGAGGATCACTTGAGGCCAGGAGTTCAAGACCAATCTGGCAACAGAGCAAGACTCCATCTCTACAAAAAATTTAAAAATTATCCAGCCATGGTGGCAAATGCCTGTAATCCTGGTTACTTGGGAGGCTGAGGTGAAAGGATTGCTTTAGCCCAGGAGTTCAAGGCTGCAGTGAGCTGCTTCATGCCACTGGGCATGAAGAGTGAGACCCTGTCTCTGAGAAAATAAAAAATAATTCATTTTTATTTTTATTTTTTTATTAATCCAGTCTGGGCAACAAAGTGAGACCCTGTCTCTAAGAAAATAAAAAATAAGACATAAACAAGTGGAAAATATTCCATGTTTATGGATCAGAACACTTAATATGGCAGTGCTCCTTAAATTGATCTACAGATTCCTTGCAGTTCTTATAAAAATCTCAGCTGAGCTTTTTCAGAAATTGACACACTGTTCCTAAAATTTGCATGGAAATTTAAGGAACCAAGAATAGCCAAATGAATTGTGAAAAAGAACAAAGTTATAGGATTCGCATATCCTGATTTAAAAGCTTACTACACAGCTACAGTAATCAAGAAGTGTGATACTAGCATAAGGATAAATGTGTAGATCAATGGAACAAAATTGAAAGTTCAAAAATAAACCCTTACATTTATAGTCAGTTGATTTTCAACAAGGTTGCCAAGACTATGCAATGGGAAACAAATAGTCTTTTCAACAAGTGGTGCTGGGGCAACTGGATAGGCACTCGGAAAAGAATAAAATTGGGTGCATATCTCAAATCATATACAAAAATTAAAATGGATCAAAAATATAAGTGTTAGAGCTAAAATGCTTATAAGAAAACACAGGTAAGTCTTCTTGAGCTTGGATTTAGCAATGTTTATTTAGATATGACACCAAAAGCACAAGCAAAAAAAAAAATAAATAAATTGGACTTCATCAAAATTGAAAGCTTTTGTGCTTCAAAGTTACTATCAAAGAACTGAAAGGACTGGCCAGGCGCGGTGGCTCACACCTGTAATCTCAGCACTTTGAGAGGCCAAAGCTGGTGGATCACCTTAAGTCAGGAGTTCAAGACCAGCCTGGCCAACATGACAAAACCCCATCTCTACTAAAAATACAAAAATCAGCTGTATGTGGTGGCACATACTTGTAATCCCAGCTACTTGAGAGGCTGAGGCAGGAGAATCACTTGAACCCAGAAGGCAGAGGTTGCAGTCAGCCAAGATTGGGCCACTGCACTCCAGCCTGGGCAACAGCAAGATTCCCATTTCAGAAAAAAAAAAAAAGATAACCTACAGAACCGAAGAAATTATTTGCAAATTATCTATCTGAAAAGGGACTTGTATCCAGAATGTATAAACAACTCAACAATAAAAAGACAAATAGCCCAACTTAGGGCAAAAGATCTGAGTAGACATTTCTCCAGTGAAGATCTACAAATGACCAGTGAGCTCATCTGAAAAGATGCTCAACCTCATTAATCATTAGGGACCTGCACATTAAAACCATAAACCCGCTTCAAACCTACTAGTATGGCTATAGTAAAAAAAACAGGAAAATAATGTGTAAGCAAGAATGTGGAAAATTGCTGATGGGAACATAAAATGGTGCGGCTACTTTGGAAAACAGTTTAGCAGAATCCCAAAATGTTAAACATAGAGTTACTATATGACTTAGGAATTCCACCTTTATGTCCATACTCAAGAGAATTGAAAACATATATTCACACAAAAGCTTGCACATGGATGTTCATAGCAGTGTTATTTATAATAGCTAAAAAGTGGAGATGGTCCAAATGTCTACCAAATGATGAGTAGATTAAAAATGTGGTATATCCATAGAATGGAAGAGTATTTGGCCATAAAAAAGAATGAAATCCTAATGGTGCAAGATGGATAAATCTTAAAACATGACTCTAAGTGAAGAAAGGCAAACAAAAAAGTCCTCATTTCTGATTACATTTTGGAGGAAGAGGGCAATATGCCAAATAGGCAAATCCTTGGAGGCAGAGAGTAGATTAGCAGTTGTGATGGGCTGGAAGAAAGGGTGAATGGAGAATGACTACTAATGGGTACAGAGTTTCTTTTGGGAGAGAAGAAAGTGTTGCAGAATTTGACAATAGTGATTGTCACACAGCTTGGTGAATATACTAAAAGAACCCCTGAATTGTATACTTAAACCTTAAGAAAATCTCTCTGTTCAGGCGGCCGACTTGCAAGGCAAGAAGCCCAAGAGGTTAACCTGGAAGTTTAATTTCAGTAGAAGATGGAATTTTCGATTCTGGAAATATTTTTAGATATTCCTTAGTGAATATCTAGGGTTCTATTCCCCAGGTTTGCATTCTTTCTGTTTTAAAATAGGAATAGTTTCTACGGGAGAAGTTTAAAGTTAATGGCAAAACTGGAAATCTCGGGAATGTTGTCTACATTGAATGCTTCAAGAATAAAATCATAGTTGTTTCTGAGAAAGTTCTCTAAAAGGTATTTGAAATACCTTACTAAGAAGTACCTTAAGAAGAACAATCTTCAGGATTGGCTTCGAGTAGTTGCATTTGACAAGGAGACTTAGGAAGTTCGTTACTTCCAGATTAATCCAGATGAAGATGAATCAGAGTCGGAGGACTAGGCAAAGGCTTCCCTTATAGGGCTTTGCTTACTAATAAAATAAAGGAAGTATACACGAGAAATGCCAAGAATGGCTTTTAGTTTATCAGTGAATAAAATATATTGTACTCTTAAAAAAAATAAAATAGAACCAAAAACTAGACAATTTATCTTAATGAGAGATTTTAATGAACTTCTCTCAAATTGAAAACGAATTAGTAAGATAAGTAAGGATATAGAAGATGGAAGCAACATGATCAGCATCTTAACCAAATTAACATGTGTAGAACACTGTACCTAGTAACTGCATAGCACACATAAATACCGAAAGTTACTACATGCTGGGCCAGGAAGCAAGTTTCAGTGACTTTCAGATAACTGAAATCATACAAAGTAGTAGTAGTTGTTGTTTGAGAGACTGGGTCTCACTGTCACCCAGGCTGGAGTGCGGTGGTGTGATCCTGGCTCACTACAGTTTGACCTCCTGGGTGCAAGCAATCCTCCACTTTAGCATCCCGAGTAGCTGCAATTACAGGCACATGCTACCACTCTCAGCTTTTTTTTTTTTTTTGGTAGAGACAAGGCTGTACTCTGTTACCCAAGCTAATCTCGGACTACTGGCCTCAAGCGATCTTCCTGCCTCAGCTTCCCAAAGTGCTGGGATTACAGGCATGAGACACCACACCTAGCCCATAATGTTTTCCAACCATAGTGGAATCAAGCCAGAAATCAGTTTAAAAAAAAATGTAACTAGGAAATCCCAGTACATTTGGGATTTTTTTTTTTTTTTAGCTGGAGTTTCACTCTTGTTGCCCAGGCTGGAGTGCAATGGCACGATCTCATCTCACTGCAACCTCTGCCTCCCAGGTCCAAGTGATTCTCCTGCCTCAGCTTCCCAAGTAGCTGGGATTACAGGTGCGTGCCACCAGGCCTGGCCAATTTTTTGTATTTTTAGTAGAGACAGGGTTCCACCATGTTGGTAAGGCTGGTCTCCAACTCCTAACCTCAGGTGATCCACCTGCTTTGGCCTTAAAGTGCTGGGATTACAGGCGTGAGCCCTTGCTATGGAATAGACACCACGCTGAGCTTAGCTACTTTATCTCAGTCTTCACCACCGTTATATGAAGTAACTATCCCATTTTATGAAGAAGGAAATGGAGGCTTAGGGAGATTAAAATGTACAGCTAGTAAATAGTGAAGCTGGGAGTCACAGTTTTCTGTCTCCGAAGTCCATTTCTTCCCTACTATATCCTGCAGTTCCAAATGAGAAATTTAATTTTAAATTTCAAAATCATTTCAGGTGAAGGAGAAAGCATTCTCTTAATAGGATTCCTCAATGAGCAAAAAAAAAATAGGATTCCTGTGTGAACTTTGGGTAGATATCAGAGAAGAATAGCCCTCTTTTCTAACTACATTAAAATGAATTTTTGTGAGGTTGTGGATTTTAAAATGTTGAATAAATAGATACAATCAAATACTACATTAAGATTTTTCATTAATATTTTACATTAATTTTTCTGTGTTTTTCCTCAGATATTGAAATACTTCATGAGCTATTTATTAACATTGAATCAAAGGATCACAGGTTACAGAAAATTAAAGTGATTTTGCTGCTACCTCGTTGTTCAGGACTGGGTGTTAGTAATCCAGTAGAATTTATCTTAAATGAACATGAAGGTACTTGTTTTATTTCTAAATTATTGAAATTAGTTGACAGTTTAAAATATAAAACTATTTAAAATTGTTAAAATAGCATGTCTAATATATCTGATTAATAAATAATAGCTACCATATATAAAGTACTTACTATGTGTAAATTCCTTTACCTTTGTTACTCATTTAATCCTTACACTAATCCTGTGAGAAATAGACCAGAATGATATTCAAAATATTTAATAATTGGAATAATGTAGGCAATCAGAAAAGATACTGGCCAGTATGCTCTTTGAATATACCAGAGCTCTTGATCTAAGTGTTAAAATTAACGAGCACTCTATAGACGAAAATACTGAGATTCAAAGATTGATTCATTTTTCTCAGGTCAAACAACTAGAGACAGAACTAAGATTCAAATTTAGATCTGTTTGACTCTAGAGCTTATGTTCTAAAGATGATCCTAATGAAATCATAATCAGAGTATTTCAAACACAAAGGTATTTTAATCTCCAGGATGTATGCTTTATAAAATGAACATCTCAGACCAAATACAGAAGCATTTACATTTAATTTTATTGGCTTTTAAATATATTTCAAGGTATTATTATTTAACACTAACATTTGTTGAGCACTTAGATGTAAGGCCCTGGGCATGACACTTTTTCTGGATTATTTTCAAGATTATTTCTTGTGAAAGTCTTCACAAGAATTCTGTGAAGGAGTAGTAACTTGTTATCTCTGTTTTACAAATAAGGAATCCGAGGCTCAGAGAAGTTAATGAAGTCTCCTAGGATCATTGGGCTAGTAAGTGGCAGAGCTTGGATTCAAATACAACTAGTCTGACTCTGAGACTGGCACTTTTAATGACTTTTAATCACATTATATTGCTCCAAATTAAACGAAATTTATTCTTACCCCTTGCTTATACTGAAAGGCTTGGATAAGGTTAATTAGACTATTAGAAAAAGAAGACACTCCACCAACATTCAGAATATAGTAACTGTTTTCTGTTTCTAGCAAGGACAGAAAGAGGAGGAAGAGAAATGGAGGGAAAGGGGCTAATATTTATTGAATACAACAGTGTCCCAGGCAATGTTCTAGGTAGTGTTCACATACTGTCACTTAGTAGTCACAATAACTTTTTGAGGATGGTGTTCTTATAATTGTAGAGGAAAAAAACCAAGACTCAGAAAAATTAAACAAGTTGCTTATGGTCGTGTAGCTAGTAAGTAGGGAAGCTGGGATTCAAATTCAGGTCAGTTAGCACCTTTTCTTTCCACTAAATGACACTGTCTTTAACTGGGTTTAAATTGTACCACATGGAATTTTGACTTGCTGTAGAAAATTTCTTGCCAGAGAGACTTTAACAGAGGAATAACCAATTCAGATGGTAGAATAACCAATTCAGATGGTAGGTAGACTGAAAACATTTCCAGATGAACTTCAAGAAATAATCAAAGATCAATTAGTAGACACTGAAAGAAAAGGGGGAAGAAATAGCAGCTCTAATAAAAGCTGTCAAGAGAACTAGAGCCCAGAACTGTGAGACTGGTCTTATCCTGGTCCATTTTGATGTGGAAATCCAGAAAAAAACCACGTATTAAAAATAAACTAAAGGCAGCTAGGTGCAGTGGCTCATGCCTGTAATCCCAGTACTTTGGGAGGCCGAGGCGGGTGGATCTCTTGAGGTCAGTAGTTCCAAGACCAGCCTGGCTAACATGGTGAAACCCTGTCTCTACTAAAAATACAAAATAGCCAGGCATGGTGGCATGCATCTCTAATCCCAGCTACTCAGGAGGCTGAGGCAGGAGAATCGCTTGAACTAGGGAGGTGGAGGTTGCAGTGAGCCGAGATGGCACCACTGCACTCCAGTGTGGGCAACAGAGCAAGACTCTGTCTCAAAAATAAATAAAATAAAATAAAATAAAGGCCATGGGAGAAAAGCCCAAAAGAAAATACAAACGAGGAAAGGGAGAAAGGAAAACATTTTCTAAGTCCTGGTAATGTTTTGAAAACCTTGATGAGATGATAGGCTAAGCTAAGAAGTGGGCGTATCCTGAAGTAAGGTGGGCTTTTGAAGAAACCTGGGCTCCGAGGAGCTAAAAGCCAGAGCAAATAAGTAGCTGCTGACCGATGGTGGGAACGTTAGTCAGAAACTAGTGGGGGTGAATCCAAAAGATTATTTTATAAAACTTAGATACAAGGTAGAATGCATCAATAAGGAATTAGTTTTAAACACTTTTTTATTTTTTGGAGACAGAGTCTCGCTCTGTTGCTCAGCTGGAGTGCAATGGCGCTGTCTTGGCTCACTGCAACCTCTGCCTCCCAGATTCAAGCAATTCTCCTGCCTCAGACTTCTGAGAAGCTGGGATTACAGATGCCCGCCACTATGCCTGGCTAATTTTTGTATTTTTAGTAGAGATGGGCTTTCATCATGTTGGCCAGGCTGGTAAAAACATTTTAACATTGAAAAATATTACAATCTTTGAGGAATATATGAAGTTGTTTCTTGCTAACAACTTGGAATTATTTTAAGATAGAATTAAATAATTGGATGATATTGCTTTAGAGTATAATAGTTTGTAATAGTCCTTTAAAAAGTAATGAATAGTTTTAGAATAGAGATTTTAAAATGTGAACTATAGGCCAGGCACACTGGCTCACATCTGTAATTCCTTCACTTTGGGAGGCTGAGGTGGGTAGATCAGTTGAGGCCAGGATTTTGAGACTAGCCTGGCCATCATGGTGAAACCGCATCTCTAATAAAAATACAAAAATTAGCTGGGCATAGTGGCACATGTCTGTAGTCCCAGCTACTCGGGAGGCTGAGGCACAAAATCGCTTGAACCCGGGAGGCAGAGGTTGCAGTGAGCCGAGACTGCGCCACTGCACTCCAGCAACAACAACAATAACAAAAAACAAACAATCCCTCATGAAATGTAAAACTAAATTGGGAAGAAATGGAGTTTAATTAACCTTTAGTGATATTCCTGGAATGGGCAACAGCCACATACATGGTATAAATAATTGGCTGCTCTACTCTAGGGAGTTCTAGAAAGCCAGTTGAATACAGAGTTTAGAAGTTGGGGCCCTCTGGTCAGATTTCTGAGTTAGAATCCTGGCTGTCCACTTAGTAGCTATATAAACTTAGACAAGTTGTTTAATGTATGTTTAAACAATTATCTCAATGTTAACAGGGATAGTGATGCTTCAAGGAGTTGTTAAGATAATCTACATAAAGTAGCATTCAGTATATCTTCATTAATATTATCAATAAATATGTTCCCATTATTTTTCAAAAACTAAAAATTGTAAGACATTATTGCTTAATCTGTTATGAAGGCATACATTTGCTATTCTGAATTTTTTCTTCCAAGGTTTCTTTTGGAAAGTTTGTATTTTAACTGTATCTTTGTGTGTTCCCAGATCTGACTGTAGCCCATTAGTTTTTATTTTGGAAAATAAACCTTATTTTCTCTTTCCAATATTAGTCTCTAGACTGATTGTATTTTCTCTTCTGTATCTAAATGACTTAAATGACTACTTGGATAACTATCTCATGGGAACTTGGAGAAAAATAATATTAAATATTTTCAATATTCTTTTTGAAAAGCAATAATAAAGTGAAACAGAATTAACTTTATTGTTCTAATTTTTAAGTCAACATTTTAATATCATCTATTTAGTTTTAATAGATATTTTCCATGAAAAACTTTTATGGGTTGGCAAAATGACTGAAAACTTGTGATGATAACAAAATGTAAAAAGTTTTTAATGGTGCTATATTTAAAAGCATTTCTTTTTAAAATTCAGATACAGAATTCCTTAAAGATCACTCTCAAGGAGGCATATCAGAGGACAAACTTCACATTCTTGCTCAACAGCAGTATGAACAGCTAACACATGCAATGAAATGTAAGTTTGTCAAGGTCATCATTTTGTTAAAATATGGTGTACATTTTAGAAATATTAGTCTTTCATCATCTATTATAATCAAGCAATGAAGTGTGAGCCATGAGCAAATTTTCCAGAACATCAGTCTTACTGTCTTCAAATAACAAAATCTTTATCTTTACCAATTTAATCTGTTTTTGGAATATATGTTTTACTATAATAAACAGGTTAGCAAGCATAATTTACCAATTTTGTAATGCTGAAGTGAAATAATTATGTGCATTTATAATTGCAGTTTCAGCTTTCCTGTTTCTTCTCTTGATGTAATTTTTCTGTTTTCATTGTGCCTACCCCTGACAACTCTTCTGTAGTCCAAATTTTAGTCAAACTCTTATTTCTCTTAGTGCTAAGTAGAGAACAGAGAGGTGCAATTGCAGATAAAGCCTAGATCTCTTGATTTGAAGTCTGAGTAACAAGGTGGCACTTTGAGTAATTTATATCATTGCTTTAATCACTTCATTTAGATTTTGAGTACCACTGCCTTTCCACATATGCACACAGTAATCTAGATGTCTCTAAGAAATTAATAAGCTTTTACTAATGCAGTATATAAAGTACCTACTTTGGGTAGGGCATTAAGCTGTACATAAGGTGTTTCAGTGTTAGAAAATCCTGACCTGCAAAGGCTTAAAGATAAATGGATATGGGCATAGGCCCTATCCATATTATGGGTATAGATCATTCAGTAAATAAATACATAAACATATATGAGGTAGAAATAAGGCCTAATAGAAATCACAGAGGTCACAGCTTGCCCGGAGTAAAAGCAAAAAATAAATATGTAAAAGAAAGCACAGAGGAGGCCTTTTCTTTTAGTTTATATTGCTAATAGATATTCATTTGAACACGATATGAATATGATCTAGGAAATGAGTTGATGGGAAGATCAGGAATTTGGTAAAAAATAAACCTTTTATTTGATGCATTTTAATTAGGTATTTAAAGCTTAACAAAGCTTCAGAAAGAATCTGAAAAGCAAAGGGATTTTAATGACATAAGCTCTTTTATGATGCCAAATGAACATAAAATTGGCAACTCTTGAGATTATGGCAGATAATATTACTGGAAGACATACTGTAAGTCAAAACAAGTTGTGTTTAATTTTCCCTTAAGACCATACTATCTTAGGTAGTGTAATCAGGGGTTTGACTGTAAATTTTGATAGAACTGACTAAAAGCCCCATTCGAAATGAACCACAGAAAAGATCATTATGTAATCTGTCGTGGGATTAGAGTAAAAACAAATAAAAGTAAAAAATAACAAAAGATAACTCTGCTCAGTCCTCTTGTTTGGAAATAATTTTTTAAATATTTAAGCACTTATTGATGACTTATTATATGCTAGGCACCTGCTACTTACTTTATATGTATATTATTTTATTTAATAATCACCAAATCTTCTTCCTTAGCTTCCATGCTGTCTTTGACCAGAGCAACAAAGGGGCCCAGGCACCCCTAATTCCCTTACCCTCTAAGACTCACAGCCTTGCCACTACTCTACTTTAAAATCATAAGTTGGGGCCAGGCGTGGTAGCTCATGCCTGTAATCCCAGTACGTTGAGAGACCAAGCTGGGCAGATCACTTGAGGCCAGACTAGACAACATGATGAGACCCCATCTCTACTAAAAATACGAACAGTAGCCAGGCATGTTGGCACATGCCTGTAGTCTCAGCTACTTGGGAGGCTGAGATATGAGAATTACGTGTTGTAGTGAGCCGAGATTGCACCCCTGCACTCCAGCCTGGGTGACAGAGTGAGACTCGGTCTCAAAAAAAAAAAAAAATTATAAGTGGGCTGGGCATTGTGGCTCATGTCTGAAATCACAGTGATTTGGGAGGCCAACAGGGGAGGATCACTTGAGGCCAGGAGTTTGAGACCAACCTGGACAACATAGTGAGACCCTGCCTCTACAAAAATTAAAAAAAGTTATCTAGGCATTGGGGCATGTAGGCTACTCTAGAGGATGAGGTGGGAGGATTGCTTGAGCCCAGAAGTTGGAGGTTGCAGTGAGCCATGATCACCTCACTGCAACTCCAGCCAGAGCAACAGAGCAAGACCCCACCTCTAAAAAGAATACAAATAAATCAAATCATAAGAAACATGTCTCCTTATATCCTTTATACCTATGAATGACAATTAACTCAGGAAGCCCCAACTCCAGGTCATTCCTTATCTCCTATACTCTGGTCTCCATAACTCTCTTCATAACCCTTTGTCCACATCTCTCACTCTGTGCTCTCTAGAATTTATAGTCCCTCATCCACAAAAATTCCCTCTATTTTAACTTCTTTGATTGTATTCCCCCTTTGTAAAAAATTCCTGTAACTTGCCTTTCCCCTGGAAACAGTGTGTCAGTCTTTCCTCTCCTTCTTTTTTGAGCCTATTACCATCACACGTTCGCTCCTGCCACTAAACTGAAACGGTCCTGTGAGGATCACCAGTGAGCCCCATGCTGTAGCGTCAGTTCCCAGCCTTCGTCTACCTTGGTCTGTCTGTGGCAGTTGACATAAGCGGTCACTTCCTCTCCCTTCACACACTTATGTCACTTGTCTTCCAGTGCACCATCTTCCGGGCCTTCTTTCTAGCTTCCCCTTCTCAGTCTCCCTTACTGGGTCCTCTCTGTCTCAACACCTTATTTAACATGGGAGTGTGCACAGTCCATGCTTTGGATCTTTTTTCTGGCTATACTTACTCCCTTGGTGATTTTGTCCAGTCTCATTTTAAACTATGTGACTCCCACATGTATATTTCCAATCTAAACTTCCTCTTGAAATTCTAAGCTTGTATCTCCAGCTGCCTTCTTGTCATCTCCACTTAGGGACTCAGGCATCTCAAAGCTGACATGTCCAAGATGGAAGCCCTGATCTTCCTCCCGCCATACCCGTTCCTCCTGCAGTACTGCCATTTCAGTTAATGATAGTTTTAGTTTCCTACTCACTTAGGCTAAAACCGTTAGCATTATCCATGATTTCTCTTCCATACCCACAGCCAGTGTGTCAGTGTATGAGATAGATTCTATATTCAACTTATATCCAGAATATATTTAGCTACCTCCACCACTACCACAATGTCCAAACCACCATCACCTCACACTTGGATTACTGTAATGTCCTCCTAATTTCTCTACTAGCCTCTGCCCCGCCCCCTACAGTCTATTCTGAGCATAGCAATTGGAGTGATCTTAAAACATGTGGCTTCCCGGAAACGATCCAAGATGGCCGATCGCTAACATCCCGGGATTGCAGCTCTCAGGGAAGGCGCGGAGAACTAGAGGACGCCACACTTTCAGACAAATTCTGGTCGCTCACGGAGCAGGAGATCCCCCAGTGGAGGAAACACACGGGTGGCCAGCGCGACTCTCGTGGCCGGTGCAGCGGTTCCGCCGGCACCTTGGCGCGGCAGCTCTCGGAGCAAAGTAAACAGGTTCGGAGGACCGGCCCGGGTCCCCAGCAGGACACCAGAGCCCGGCAGCGGCTGTGACGGCACCTCGGCACGGGAGCGCTCGGCGCAGAGTAAACAGGACCGGTTCCCCTTCTGACCGAGGTTTGGAGCCCCAGGAAGGCAGAGTCGCCTACTACCGACACAAGAAGGAAGCCCGACAGGAGAATCCTGGGCAGAAAAGCACCATCAGTTTTAACGCCGCTGCTCTGGCCCTGGGAACTAACAACCTGGACGTCCACTCAAGAGACCTAATCTGAAAGTTGGTAATTTCAAAGACGACAGGAGGATAAATTTACAATGATGGGAAGAAACCAGCGTAAAAAAGCTGAGAATACTCAAAGTCAGAACGCCTCTCCCTCTAAAGATGATCACAGTTCCACATCAACAATGGAACAAGGCTTGATGGAGAACGAGCGCCTCCTGATGACAGAATCACTCTTCAAGGAATGGATAATAAGAAACTTCGGTGAGTTAAAAGACCATGTTGTAGCCCAACGTAAAGAAACTAGGAACTTTGAAAAAAGGTTTGATGAAATCCTATTGAGAATAGACAACTTAGAGCGGAGTATGAGTGAATTAATGGAACTAAAGAATACAATACAGGAACTCCGAGAAGTTTGCACAGGTTTAAACACTCGAATTGTTCAAGCAGAAGAAGGGATATCAGAGGTCAAAGTCCAACTTAATGAAATAAAACGTGAAGAAAAGATTAGAGAAAAAAGGATAAAAAGGAATGAGCAAAGTCTCCAAGAAATATGGGACTATGTGAAAAGACCAAATTTACGTTTGATAGGTGTACCTGAATGCTACGGAGAGAATGAATCCAAGCTGGAAAATACCCTTCAGGATATTATTCAGGAAAATTTTCCTAAACTAGCAAAGCAGGTCAAAATTCAACCCCAGGTAATACAGAGAACACCACAAAGATATTCCTCAAGAAGAGCAACCCCAAGGCACATAATCGTTAGATTCACCAGGGTTGAAACGAAGGAGAAAATACTAAGGGCAGCCAGAGAGAAAGGTCATGTTACCCACAAAGGCAAGCTTATCAGACTTACAGCAGATCTCTCAGCAGAAACTCTACAAGCCAGAAGAGAGTGGGGGCCAATATTCAACATTCTCAAAGAACAGAACCTTCAGCCCAGAATTTCATATCCAGCCAAACTAAGCTTCACAACTGAAGGAAAAATAAAATCTTTTATGAACAAGCAAGAACTCAGAGATTTTATTACCACCAGGCCTGCCTTACAAGAGCTTCTGAAAGAAGCATTACACACAGAAAGAAACAACCAGTATTAGCCTTTCTAAAAATACACCAAAAAGTAAAGAGCACCAACATAAAGAAGAATTTACACCAACGAATGGATAAAACAGCCAGTCAACATCAAATGGCAGCAACCCTAAATTTAAATTGACTAAATCCCCCAATCAAAAGACACAGCCAAAACCCAATGGCATTTTACATCCAGACCTGTTTCACATGCAAGGATACACAAAGACTCAAAACAAAGGGATGGAGAAAGATTTACCAACCAAATGGAGAGCAAAAATAAATAATAAATAAATAAAAAGCAGAAGTTGCAATTCTCGTATCAGATAAAATAGATTTTAAAGCAACAAAGATATAGTGGTAAAAGGATCAATGCAACAACAAGAGCTAATGATCCTAACACCCAGATACGAGACTTAGATTCAATGAGACAGAAAATTAATAAGGATATCAAGGACTCGAACTCAGATCCGGAACAAGTAAACTTAATAAATATTCATAGAGCTCTCCACTTCAAATACACAAAATATACATTCTTGTCAATACCACATCACACCTACCCATAAGTTTAAATGAAACATTGATTGGCCATTATTAATACTCAATTTTTTTCAAAATAAAGCAATATTTCCATTTACTCTCCTTCTTTCTCTTCCTCTTTCTTCCTCTCCTTTACTTATTTTTTTTTTTCTTTCCTTCTCTCAAAAAAAAAGAAATCAACTTGTAAACCTCTAGATCCAGGTCGGCAATGTCTCTCTCATTGCTTGATTTCCTTCCTTCCCTTCCCTCCCTCCCTCCCTCCCCGCTTCCTCCCTTCCTTCCTTCCTTCCTTCATCCCTTCCTTCCTCCCTACCGTCCTTCTTCCCTCCCTCCCCGCGTCCTCCCTTCCTTCCTTCCTTCCTTCATCCCTTCCTTCCTCCCTACCGTCCTTCTTCCCTCTTCCTGCCTTCCTCCCCCCTCCACCAAAAAAAAACATGTGGCTTCCCATCATAACCCAAGTAAAAAAATCTAAGTCCTTCTGGGGGCCCACAAGTCCCTGTACTATCTGATGCTCAGACCATGCTTTCTGACCTTGACTCTCACTACTCTCTTCATTCCCTCTGCTCTGATCAAACTGGCCCCTTCACTTTCCTTGAACATCCAGCACCATGTTGACTTCAGGTCTTTACCCTTCCTTTACTTTAGAATGCTTTCCTCTAAGTAGCTCTGTGGCCGGTTCCTTAGTCTACCCACAGTTTGCCATCTCCACAATGCTTTCTCTCACTGCTCTATTTCACGTTATTTCTCCTGGAACTCTCTCTCACCCCTGTTCTGCTTTTCTCCATAGCATTGATCACCTAACAGTACTACATAGTTTTTGTATTTATCTCTGTCTTATTGTCTTTCTCCTCTACTAGAAAGTAAGCTCCACAGGGGCATGGATTTTGGTTTGTGTTGTTCACTGATGTATCCCAAAGCCTAGAACAGTGCCTGCCTGGCAGCTGGTAGGTGCTGAATACGTATGAATCAATGAGTGAATTGCAGGTGGTAGTATTACCTCATTTTACGGATGAAAAATGTAAGACTTTAAGTAATTTGCCCAGGTTCATAGATGAGTAAGTGACAGAATTGGGATTCACATCCAAGTCTGTCTGTTTCTAGAGTCTACTAAACTATTTAGGCACTATCACTTGTAGAAGAATGGCTGGAAGTATCAAGTTCATGGTAACCTGCAGGATTTATTTCTTTGTGTTTATAACTAAGTTGGTCTCATTTTTTTATTGAATTTTCAACTTCCATACAATCCAGTTAGATTGACTTTACTTCCTAGCTACAGAGTAAATTTCTAAGACAAGCTTTTGCTTTAAAGGGGAGCCATTCAAGCATCTGAGGAAATCATTCTCATCAAAACCATGTGGTATTAGTACCAAATAGATGTTTGGAAACAGCACATTTGTATAGGATTGTAATGGGGTTGTTACAGTCATTGCATCTTCTTCTAATATAGTTACTAAAGCTCAAGCAGTTGTTTACTGCACATGTTCAGTTTATCCAGAAGAAAATGAAGCTGTTGTTAAGAAAGCACTGGAATTTCAAGACCTTGGGAATAAAGTACAACCTTATAGGTAAGAAAAGGAAGGATTCTTCTAAACTCAAATATATATTTTTTTAAATGAAAAATATGATTTTCTAAGTTATATAAAGACATTCTAGCTTTTAAAATTATATTTTAGTATGATAAAATAGCCTAACTTCTTATAAATTTAACATAGATTCCATTAGGGCCTTTTGCCTTTTCTTTTTTTTTTTTTTGAGATGGAGTCTCACTCTGTCATCCATACTGGAATGTAGTGGCATGATCTCGGCTCACTGCAACCTCTGCCTCCCGGGTTTGAACGATTCTCCTGCCTCAGCCTCCCAAGTAGCTGGGATTACAGGCATGTGCCACCATACCTGGCTAATTTTTGTATTTTTAGTAGAGACAGGGTTTCACCATGTTGGCCAACCTGGTCTCAAACGCCTGACCTCAAGTGATCCACCCGCCTCGGCCTCCCAAAGTGCTGGGATTACAGGCGTGAGCCACTGTGCCGGGCCCTATAGAACCCTTTTCAACAGCTTGGCATGAGCATTTTCTTATACATCAAAAGACTCTTTTGTTTTTGTTATTTTTTGTTTGTTTAACACCTGTCATGGACATCTATGTTTTTGTTATTATTAAAGCTAAAGGCATTTTGATTTTGACTTGATCGATTTCTGGATAAATGGATCCAAATTTATTGTCCCCATTTTAGATACATGCATGCCTTAGTATAACAAAAAGTATATAAAATATTCTTAGAAAATAGAAAATTTGGTTTATTATCTGAAAGAGTATACATTTATTAAGCCGTTTTAGCCTTTGGTACCCACCAGAATATAACCCAGAGAACTGTAATAGCTGCTGGAGAAAATGCTGCAATAAACTAGAGGTAGAGAAAGAGCATTAATGCTGCAGTGTGAACTGTGGACATCAAGATAAGGAGTAGATCTTAGGAACAGATGACACTAATTAGTTCTTTAAGGTCATGACAATGAATAAGATTATTTTAAACCTCACTTTGATTTTTTTTCTTATTTCTCCTGTAGTGAACTTCTCTTCTAATTTTTTTTTTTTTTGAGCTGGAGTCTTACTCTGTCACCCAGGCTGGAGTGCAATGGCGTGATCTCTGCTCACTGCCACCTCCCCCTCTTGGGTTCAAGTGATTCTCATGTCTCAGCCTCCCGAGTAGCTGAGATTATAGGCACACACCACCATGCCCAGCCATTTTTTGTATTTTTAGTAGAGGTGAGATTTCACTATGTTGCCCAGGCTGGTCCTGGACTGCTGGCCTCAAGTGATCTGCCTGCCTTGCTTTCCTGAAGTGCTGGGATTAAAGGCATGAGTGAGCTAGCACACCCGGCTCCTCTAATTCTTAATATGCATATTGTCTGCTCCCTCCCTTTAAAGTGATATTTTTCCTTTGCTCATTTCACAAGTGGACATAATCACACCTCTATTTTCTTTCTTGCTGACTTTCCTTATTTAGTAGCTCCTTTTGGTAGCTGAGAGCCAACCTCATGTTCTGAGAGCCCCTCAACATAGTGTTAGCTAAATCATCATCTATTGGCAAAGGGTGTTACTGAAGGTATGCAATCAAATTGGTGAATGTGGAATGTATACCTCTTGATTTGCTAGGAATGAGATTTTTAGGAATATGATATGGCTGGCCCGGCATGGTGGCTCACACCTGTAATCCCAGCACTTTGAGAGGCCAAGCTGGGCACATAGCTTGACCTCAGGTGTTCAAGACCAACCTGGGCAACATCATGAAACCATGTGTGTTTTTTTAAAGAAGAATGTGATATGGCAAACATGGAGGAATATTGATTTGTTTCAGGCAAGCCATGATTAATGATTAATCTATACTATGGCATAAAAGGCACAAGCTTAAATATAAAGACAGAATCCATAATTCTAGATTGGTTTGAGATTTGAGCTCAAGCTGGAGAGTATATATTGAAGAGGGTTATAACTGCTTGTTGGGGATGTTGTCAAATTATGCATTGCCCAGGGAAATATACTAGATGGTCTCTAAGAATCAGTTCCTATTACCCCAAAGTGGTAGAATTTAGAGTTGAAAGCAATATTACATGTCATTTAATCTCATCGCCTACCCGTTGCTTATATTTCTTTTAAATGTCCCAGAAATGTTCAGCTCATTTTGGACTTCAGCTGTCATGATAAAATTTGCAAAGTTATACATTTTTTGGTCCCCTATTGTAAAAAATTCACATTACAGAAGTACTAACTTAAAAAGAAAGCCTTTTTCTAAATCCCATCCTCTTAATAATTGTTCTTAACAATTTGATTTGTAGTCTTCTAGATTTTTCCACCATATAATGTGCATATTTTGTTTTAATTGGTATTGTCAAATTACTACCAAAACTTTCACTCTTATAAACCTGTTTTCCCACAGCTTCACAAATGCTGAGCTTCATCAGACTTAAAATCTTACTCACCTGTGAGATGAAACATGAGATTTCATTACTGATTGTATTTTCATTTCTCTATTACTGAGGTTGAGCATGCTTCCTGTTTACTGACTGGTCAGTGTAGTGTGATGGTTAAAAGGAGGGATTCCAGAGCAGTGGTTGTCAAACATTTTTGCTCAAACAATCCTAAATTTTTTTTTTTTTTTTGAGATGGAGTCTTGTTCTGTTGCCCAGGCTGGAGTGCAGTGCTGTGATTTCAACTCACTGCAACCTCCGCCTCCTGGGTTCAAGCCATTCTCTTGCCTTAGCTTCCCAAGTAGCTGGGATTACAGGCACATGCCACCACACCCGGCTAATTTTTGTATTTTTAATAGGGGACTACAGGAGTGCACCACCACACCTGGCTCATTTTTGTATTTTTTTGTAGAGAGAGTTTCACCATGTTGGCCAGCCTGGTCTCAAACTCCTGACCTCAAGGGATCCACCCACCTCGGCCTCCCAAAGTGCTGGGATTACAGGCATGAGCCACCGTGCCTGGCCCCTAAACATTTTTGAATAACTATGTATTTTGTTCTTTATTTTCGAGTTAATGTCTAGCATTTACATCATAAGTTTAAATAGCTGCAAAATATATTATTTCTGGAATATTATATTACATATTTGTTTTAATTATATTTCTGTTAAATGTTTGGACCTGCAGATTTATTTATCTTATTTGATTTATGGGAAAATGTTAAATTTGTTAACTGTTTTACATAACTAATTATCATTGTCAAAACCAAACTCACCTTGTCAGAAAAAGTCTGACTTTAATTCAAATAAACATTAATATTCTCTTTTGATTTTCTTCTGAATTTGAATTCTAAGATAGATATACAGAAATAAGAAAGGGAAAAGGAGGGAGGGAAGAAGCGAGTGTAGGAGAGAGAGGAAGGGAGAAAGGGAGGGAACAAGGGAGGAAGGAAGGGAGGTTTGCTGAGTTTGATACCCTCTTAAAGATTTCTTATCTAAACTCTGCATGCCATGGGAGAAGAGGGCCACATTCTTGAATTGTCCCTTTGTTAGCACCCTGGAGATGTTCACATCCCAGGACAATGTACCATAACAAGGCAGTGACAGTTACACCTTTTTTGTTAAGTGGGAGAAGGGTATTGTGAATGGAGAGGTGGCTGTGAAATACAGTTAATGATATTACCTAGTCATTAGATTCTTGTGGGGATTAAATATATTAACATATGGACAGTATCTGGCATATAATAAATGTACAACAATTTTCAGTTGTTGTTATTTATTTATAAATTGCATGTTCATGAACTTTACCACTTTTTCCAACTGGATTTTTCTTCTTTTCACCTGTTTTATTATATATTATGAAGAGTTGCTGTTTTCATATGAATTACAGACATTTTTCAGATTGTTTAACTTTTTATTTTTAAATAAAAACTTGAATTAAAAATTTGCTTTATAGGTTGAGCGTGGTGGCTCATGCCTGTAATCCCAGCACTTTGGGAGACTGAGGTGGGTGGATCATTTGAGCTCAAGTTTTTGAGACCAGCCTGGGCAATGTGGTGAAACCCCATCTCTACAAAAAAAATACAAAAATTGCCCAGGTGTGGTGATGCACTCCTGTAGTCCCAGCTACTCAGAAAGTTGAGGTGGGAAGATTGCTTGAGCCCAAGAGGTCGAGGCTGTGGTGAGCTGAGATTGAGTCACTGCACTGCACTCCAGCCTGGATGACAGAGTGAAACTCCGTCTAAAAAGAAAAGAGAAAAGTAATTATTTTACAGTAATTTCTGTGTAGACATTTGTCTCAATGTTTTCCTTATGGATTCTACATTTTGTATTATGTGAATTCCTAGCTTATGAATGCTTTTATCGGTTTTCTTTTAGTACTTTATAATTTCATCTTTTTTATATTTAAATAATTGATTTTTCTGCTATTTATTTTGGTAAAAGAGTCAAGTATGGATCAAGGTTTATTTTTTCCCCAAATAATCTTTCCTTGACCCCTGTTTCTGTTGATTTAAAATGCCATCTTTAAAAATACGCTTTAGCCTGTAATCCCAGTACTTTTGGAGGCTGAGGCGGGCGGATCATGAGGTGAGATCAAGACCAGCCTGGCCAACGTGGTGAAACTGTGTCTCTACTAAAAATACAAAAATTAGCCTGGTGTGGCAGCGTGCACCTGTCGTTCCAGCTACTTGGGAGGCTGAGGCAGGATAATTGCTTAATCCCAGGAGGTGGAGGCTGCAGTGAGCCAAGATGATGCCACTGCATTCCAGCCTGGGCAACAGAATGAGACTCTGTCTCAAAAAAAAAAAATGCTTTAAGCCCATTTATACTTCTGTGTGGATCTGTAATTCTATTCCATTGATGTTTGGCTATTTCTATACTAATATGATAACACTATAACTACTATAGTTGTAAGTGGTTTTCTTCTCAAATTTTATTATTTTTTATTACAGAAGCCCCACCCATAATTCTAAGATGCATAATGAAATGGTCAACAATTTTCTTTGTAAATCTCGCCACTTCTAAGTCCTATAATAGTCTGTTAAGGGGATGCAGCAGGGCCCTGGTGGTCCCTTGATGAGCTAGGTGTAACCTCTTGGTCCCTTTTTATTATATGATGGTCTGGAGGGCCACTCAGAGAGCTGGGGCGGCAAATAGGCATAGGCCCAGAAATTTAGATATTTTTACTGCTGATACAGCCACACCAGCATGTACCAGCTGAATATCAACCACATGGATGTGTGTGCATATATTATAGATATACATTAAGTATAAGTAACTATTCCTATTTTAATAGGCCTTTTGAGATGTAATTCACATACTATGCAATTCACCATTTTAAAGTGTACAATTCAGTGCTCTTAAAATATTAATACATTCATGAAGTTGTACAACAATCACCACTAATTTCTGTAGATGATTTGAGTTAGGGGTCCAACTTCTTTCTTTTGCATGTGGCTATCCAGTTCTCCCAGGAACATTTGTGGGAAAGATTATTCTTTCCTATTGAATGGTTTTGGCATCCTTGTTGAAAATCAGTTAATGCCAGCCTGGGCAACATAGAGAGATCCTATCTCCACAAAAAATCAGCCAGGTGTGGAGATGCCCACCTGTAGTCCCAGCTACTCAGGAGGCTGAGCTACTCAGGTCAAGGCTGTAGTGAGCTGTGATTGGGAGACAGAGCAAGAACCTGTCTAAAAACAAAAGAAAATAGAAAACCCACTAATCAGAAATGTATGGGCTTACTTCTGATGGTTGCCTAGATTTATGAAAAGCCTTTGCAGCATTTAATGATATGATCAGATGTTCTCATCTGACACTTTAATGTGTGGTGAGTTACATTTAATCTTTTCTAATAGTGAATAGTCTTTGAGCTTGAGGTCCAGGTTGTGTTTTGATTTTCTCTTTCCTAGTAAGGGTGGAGGGCAGGAAGGTGAGCAGTGCATGGGAGTGATTTGATTGCTACTCTGGTCCTAGTACTCATTATGATCATCAATATGTACACATGCCTGGCTTCTGATGGTTAATTTGCTCACCTGATCTCTGTTGTTTCAGGATCCTATTATTTTCATTGCTGTCAGTGAGCCCATTTCTGTCACAGCATCCCCTACTGTCAGCCGTGGGCTACAGAGGAAAGCCACTAGTGCCTCTCACCAGGCCATTCCGTGCTGCTTGACAGTGGGTATACTTTTGGAACCTTCCTCTCAACATAGTCCTCTGGTGGGTTTTCCAGCCTTCGTGGTGGTATCCATGGCAGCAAGCTCACTTCTCCGTCCTCTTGCTCTGTCTTCCACTGCCTGCCATCTGCAGCCTGGCATTGCTTCCTCACGTAGGGCAAGCCATTGTGTGTTCATTTTCCATGTCTGTTTAAGAAATTACCTGAAACTTAGTGGCTAAAAACACCTATTAATGAGTTCACATAAGTCAGATATGTCTGGCATGGCACAGCCAGGTTCCCTGCTCAGTATATGAGCTAGGCTGAATTCTCTGGAGGCTCTGGGAGCAGTCTACTTGCAAACTTGTGTTTGCAAGACTGAGGTCCTCATCTTCTGGCCGGCTGTCACCCGACTGCTCTCCACTCCTAGAGGCCACTTGCATTCCTTGTCCCAAGGCTCCCCCAATCTGTGCACCTGCAGTAGCCGTCATAGCATCTTGTGTTTTGAATCTCTGACTTCTTCCATCTCCGACCTCTAGACCCCGATCTCAAAGGTCACGTGGTTAGGTCAGCTCCATCCAGATAACATCCATATCTTAAGGGTAACGAACGAACATGGGACCTACCCTGCATCTGCAAAATCCCATTTGCCATGTGTGTTAGTTTCCTGGGCTGCTGAAAGAAATTCTCCGAAACTTGGTGGCTTATAATAACACTTTTATTCTCTCATAGTTCCAGAGGCTGGGAGTCCTAAACCAAGGCAAGGTGCATGCAGGGTGGATTCCTCCTGGGGCCTGTGCTGGAGAGACCTGGCCCCTGCTCTCTCCCAGCTTGTGATGGTTGCTGGCCATCCTTGGTGTTTTTTGGCTTGTAGCTGCATCACATGGACACTATTATTAATATTTTGAGACAGAATCTCACACTGTCACCCAGGCTGGAGTATAGTGGTGCGATCTTAGCTGGCTGCAACCTCCACCTCCTGGGTTCAAGTGATTTTCCTGCCTCATACTCTCAAGTAGCTGAGATTAAAGGTGCCCACCACATCTGGCTTTTTTTTTTTTCTGAGCCAGAATTTCATTCCTGTCACCCAGGCTGGAGTGCAATGGTGTAATCTTGGCTTGAATCTCCCAGATTCAAGTGATTCTCCTGCCACAGCCTCCCAAGTATCTGGAATTACAGGTGTCTGCCACCACACCTGGCAATTTTTTTGTATTTTTAGCAGAGAAAGGGTTTCATCATGTTAGTCAGGCTGGTCTTGAACTCCTGGCCTCAAGTGATCTGCCTGCCTCAGCTTCCCAAAGTGCTGGGATTACAGGAGTGAGCCACTGCACCCGGCCAGGACACAATGATCAATAAAAGATTTCCTGATAGTTTAATTCATATAGAATAGTGTTTAATTGCTTTGACTTATTAAAATATTTTAATAATAAAAGCTTGGAAATAGAATCATTTATTATTCATGAATGAACCACTTACTAATAAATGATAAATTCAATATTAAACATAAAAACCAAAATTTCATTTTAAACCTGTTAGTGATTCAAGATTTTTCTGACACAAAGTCCTTGTTATGTACTTTCTTGAACACTATGTGACTCATCTATTAATCCTCAAAAAGTGACTGGGAAGAAGAATGTAATTAAGGTGATAGGTTATATTTTTATATTGTAATTATGCAAAAGGTATCCAAAAGAAGATGTTTTCTTCTTTGTATTTTGAAAATGGTAGAAATATAGGAAATTTTGGTTAACTTTGTGATTATTATACATATTTACGTGCTTTGATAATGGAAACCTTTTACTAATATATTAGTGATTTTGGGAAGGTAAGTTTTTAGTTTGTTAAACATTATTATTCTTGGAATAGTTGGTTAAAAGATGGAGAATCTGGGATTTATAATAAATTATGAACTAATATGAAATATTAGGGCTTTTAACTTATTAGTATTTAGAGAAAGCCTGCTTCAGAATTTTATTCTTGATTATAATTTCTATTTAAATGATTGGTAAAATATACTAGAAAAAAAGTTTAGCTGCAATTTACTTTCTTTCTCTCTTGGCAAAGAGGTCATTCTAACTGTTGAGTGCTTGTTCCTGTCTACTGCAGGCTCAGCCCTCCCGTTCTTCCACTGTGCTCCTTAAAGGAAATTCAACTGTCTACTGATAAATTTTTCAGAATGGAACCATCTGAAATTACCAATGGTTGTTTTATTTCTATTTTAACAAGGGAGGTAAGGGAAAAAAATCCTAATCCATGTCATACTTTGGAATTAAGAAACTACAAAGCCTCATAAGAGGAAGCCAGGAACTGTGCATATTCTGTAGGGATGTGTTTGCATTTTATAAACAGCTAAAGGGCAGGAGCAAGAATGATGGCTGTGTGGCAGATGAGCTCTGTTCTTTATACTTACCCTAGTGCTCCTCTTCTGCCTGGCTGCCACCCCCGGCCTCTGCAAGCATTTTATCAACATCTAGTATATCTTCCCTTGCATGTAAGAAACAAGCAGCTGGGCGTGGGGGCTGATGCCTGTAATCCCAGCACTTAGGGAGGCTGAGATGGGTGGATCACCTGAGGTCAGGTGTTTGAGGCCACCCTGGCCAACATGGTGAAACTGTATCTCTACTAAAAATACAAAAATTAGCTAGGTGTGGTGGCACACACCTGTAATCCCAGCTACTCGGGAGGCTGAGGCAGGAGACTCACTTGAACTCAGGAGGTGGAGGTTGCAGTGGGCCAAGATCGCACTCCAGCCTGGGTAACAAAGTGAGACTCTACCTCAAAAAAAAAAAAAAAAACCTGTGTGATTCTTTTTTTCTATCAGTTATCAGGTTCATAAATGGGGAAGTTTTTAAGTTAAAAAAAAAAGTGCTGTTAAAAGCGGGGGAAAAAAGGCATTTGCTGAGGCTTACCAGATTGAAGATTAAGGCCTAAAAACCATTTCTTATTTCTCTCAGTATAATAGAGTCTTTTTACTTTTACTGACACATTGATAAATACTTGCAAGACACAATAACAGCTAATCCCCACATTTACTAAGTGCTTCTTTAATTGCAGCGGGACCCTTCTGAGACAGTGTCTGTGAAAGATGTTTTGGCCCGAGCTGCAGCCAAGGGTTTGCTGGAGGGGATTGAGCTGGGTAAATCATCAAAACGGGAGAAGAAGAAGAAAAAATCAAAAACATCATTGACAAAAGCTGCCACTACTGATAACGGCATCCAAATGAAAATTGCAGAGTTCCTGAATCGAGAAACTAAAGCCAGTGCTAATCTATCAGAGACTTTAACAAAACCACCTCTTCCCCAGAAGAATACTGCTCAAGTGGGGGCTTCCTCACAGACCAGAAAACCCAACAAGTTGGCCCCCCATCCTACAGTGCCTACATTTATGAAGAGCACATGTTCCTCTAGACCATGTGAACGGCAGGCACGCTTCATGAGACCTCGGCCAGAAGACAGAATGGTTGCTTTGAAACCCATCGAGATTGTTCTGCCTCCAGTATTTATGCCATTTTCAAGTCCTCAAGGGATCAGATCTCAGATGCCAACTCAACATTTTTACTGTCGTTGGGTCGCACCCAAGGCACTTGTGCCCACCTGCCTCCCCACACCCTCACTAGCCAGGAAAGGGGAGAAGCCTAAAGACGACACACCTTCCCCCCTACTCAGGTGTTCGCGGCCGTGGCTTTGATAGTCTTGTGTTTTTTTATATGGGCCAAAGAGCAGTTGATTTTTTTTTTCAAAGTCTAGTATTTTGAAGGTTCCACATCTCTACACAAAGTACTTATTCTTTTGGTCACTTAGGGATCTTCTAAGTGTGATATTACTTTCAGATAATTCAGACAAGTGAGAAACAGTAATGTAGGAGTCAGCGAAGCAGATTTCAGAGACTTCAACAGATCAGTGCTGCTCTGTTTGAGAAGATCCAGTGAGAGCTTTAGTGTCAGCTGTCAGAACTTGTCTCACTCCTGTGAACTTGCAGGCTGGACTTAAAGCTGCAAGTTTCTCCTGCAGGAAAGGAAACACTGGTTGCCTTAGCAGGCAGCTCATTAGCTGAAAGGCAAACCATCCCGGCATCTCCACCAGCTGAGACTGCTCTTCAGCATCCACGCAATTGTAGTCGCGACTTTCTCAATCACGATCAACGGTGATTTTTTCTTAAATATCAAGCTGTTCTTTGAACAGGGAATGACATGAGTTTTTGTAACGTGACTGAGGTTAAGTAGGAAGCGCAGGAAATTCCTACGTGCCAGGTGTGTGTAGCTCAGGGGTCCTTTCACAGTGAGGTGTCTCTCATTGGGGAAGCTTCCAGGATCCTGAATAGACTGGACACAATCATCTCTCCTTCCTATCTTTTATGCCAAGCACTGTTATAAAAAAGACTGTGAGTAAATTTCCATCTAAATATTAATAATTCAGAAGAAGAGGCAAAACTGTTGAATCCAAGCGATACCTATTGTTGAAGAAACCTGTAAATTTCTGATTCTATTCAAAGATCAGGCAACGCAACAAAATCTACAAGTCATTTCAAATAGCACACAGGAATCAAACTTTGGTAAATCATTTCTGATGCATAATTAAAATATATTGTAGCACTATGTTAATTATATTAAATTTCATCTTGAATGTATTATCAATTGCCTACCAAAAATTGATATGATTATCATTTCTGGGTCTGATTTTTCATCATGGCAACAGAAATTGTCATTAAATAGAATAAGATACAACTATATATCTTATTGTTTAAAAAAATTTAGACATATTCATAAAGTTTGAATTTATAGTTTTATTTTTGCAATTCAGTTGTACAGAAATGTTATATAAATTCCTAAATGCTAAATTCAGATGGCATGATTTTTAGAATATTATCCTCAAGATGAATATTTAGGTCTATTTCAGCTCTGATGTTCTATTTTTACTTTCTTAAAGTGAGGATTAAAAAAGAATGGGGAATTTTTTAATAGCAGTAATTAATTACTTTTCTTTTAGCTTAGATTTACCAGTAAAATGTGTCAGTGGGCTGGGTGCAGTGGCTCATGTCTGTAATCTCAGCCGTTTGGGAGGCTGAGATGGGCAGACCTCTTGAGCCCGGAAGTCCCAGACCAGGCTGGGCAACATGGCGAAACCCTATAACCCCATCCCTACAAAAAATACAAAAATTTGCTGGCTGTGGTGGTACATGCCTATAGTCCCAGCTACTTAGGAGGCAGAGGTAGGAGGATCGCTTGAGTCCAGGAGGTTGGCGCAGGTTGCAGTGAGCCAAGATTGTGCCACTGCACTCCAGCCTGGGCAACAGACTGAGATCTTGCCTAAAAAAAAAAAAGTGTCAGTGAAGAAAGGAAACAAGACTTTTTATACTTGAACCAGGCTTATTATATTTTAAATCCCCAAAGAATTCTTCACATAATTATCACTCTTAAAGTACAGAAAGATATAAAATGCTCAGCTTATTTTGAAAATCATATTCTATCTTCTCTAAAATTATAGCGTGTGGCTCATCCTCTTATCCCACCAAGATTTCTATCTGTGTTAGAGTATTCGGTGCCTCAAGGAGGGCAGTGCAGCTTAATTTAACACTGCAAAAATAATTAGTAAAGAATTCCATTGTATCACAAGAATCATTTATCCTTTCCCAGCCTTCCGCCATACCAGACTGAGAAGTATTCCATTGTCCAGAAGTAGCAGGTCTGAGATTTTTATTTTCAAGTGTATTTTCTGTGATGTTAAGTCTCATTGTTGTGGAATAGTTTAGGATAATTCTTTAATCTCTACAGTAGTATGTGATTGAAACAATTTGTTGCTACTTAAATTGAGTATCTCCTAACATGAATTTTGGCACCAAATTATTTTTCTCTTTAGAAGTATGTGAAGATTCTGAGTTAAACCATTCATTAATTACACTGCAGTTTTCTTCCTTGAGAATCTTCTACGAAGGACAGGATCAGTTATTTAAATACTTTGGTAGAGTGAAAAGGGAAAAGTACTTTGGATAAAAGCAATATGAGGTCAGGCATGATGGCTCATGGACTTTGGAAGGCTGAGGTGGAGGATCACCTGAGGTCAGGAGTTTGAAACCAGCCTGGCCAACATGGCAAAACCCCGTGTCTACTAAAAATATACACATTAGCCAGGTGTGCACACCTGTAGTCCCAGTACTCAGGAGGCTGAGGCACGAAAATCGTTTGAACTCAGGAGGCGGAGGTTGAGGTCAGACGAAATTATGCCATTGCACTCCAGCCTGGGTAGCAGAGTGAGACTCTGTCTGAAGAAAAAGAAAAAGCAGTATGAGAAAATTCTAGTGAAGGAGAATACTGACTATACTGACATATTTCATTTGGCATTTTATATTCTTGGACTTTTTAGAGAAAAGTGTTATAAAATTTTAAATAACTTACTGGTATTCAGATACCTCCAATAGCAAAGTTATATTTGTAATCTGAAATTATTTACCACTCTATAATGCCTGAAGCCATAATGAAATTTTGTTGTTACCGCCTAGAGAGAAACCCTGGGGAAGTGCAAGATGAGCGAAAAGCAGGGCCATGCTTTAACTGCCATTTCCTGCCTTCCTGCGCCTAAGAGTTCAGCGAACCAGATTCAACTGATTTTTCTAGTTACCTTTCATTTTAGATTTAGTGTGAATATACCTCAATTCTTTATTCTTTAAAGTCAGGATCTTGAAGCAAGTGATTAGCTTCTTTGTGCTGAAATATCACAATCCTAGAAAGACCGCTTACAAAAGACTCAAGCTGGTGACTACACAGGCTTCTGTGTCCAGAAGACCAGCTGGCCTTCCTGATCACCAAATAAGTACAGGGTCATTACTCAAAATTTAAAGTTACTTCCTAGTCCTTACCAGGTAGAAATATGTAGTATCTAATCAAAGCAAAATGTTCCATTACTGAAGTGATTTCTAAAAAGTTTTAAGAATAGAGACAGTAAATTTCTATTTCTATTCCTTGTATATGTGACTAAGATGTCAGATAAATGAGCCAAACATTTTATGCAGCTAAATTTATTCTCACAACAAATTACATTTAAATGTGTAAAAGCCGTCAACAGGAAAGGGGGCATAAAGGAAACAAAGCGTTCTCTCAGGGGAAGCAAGCTGCTTCAGAGGCCAGGGACTGACTGCTTGCGTTGACGCAGGGTGAGTGGGTATCTTTGCCCTGAAGCTGAAATTAAACTTTCTACTAGTTGTGTAGCACGTATGTTAGACATGTGTTAGGGTTAAGCCTGGCCAACTAGAGAGCGAATGGGCTTATTAGTTAAATTGTGCTAACATTAGTTAGGGAAACGCTTACCATGTTGTATGAAATCTGGGGTTTGTTTTGCAATGCCTGGGACATGAACAGGCTGTACACAAGGAGGAAAGCTCTGGGGCTTCCAGGCAATGGCCTCGTGCCGAATCATCTTACCAGTGTCCATCTTGAAATCATAAAGTGGATTTAAAAAGAAGTAGCAGTGCCACAGTTTATCACCAAGAACTTATTTTAATGGAAATGGGTCTAATGTCCCTTCATGCAACAAGACAGAGGAACAAAAAACAATGGTCCTAATTAGCTATGAGTGATCTTCTATCCAGGTGGAAACAAAGGGCATGTGGACATGTATATATCTCTTAGATGACATCACACATGTTGTGAAGGGAGTAAAAACGAAGCACCAAGCAGTGCTTTAGTCTGCAAAGGAAAGTTTTTAGCCATAGGCATGTTGGCTATTCCCCTTGACGCTGCCAAGGAGCAGATGTATGAGGTGGCAAGTCTGTGTCTATCTAGCTGCTTTTAAAAAATAAAAGGAACGTTAAGCATTTTGCCTTTTCTTCTACATATCCCAATAGAAATGTAACTACAAATCATTACAAAACCACTTTTTAGGCCATGTGTAGTTCACTGAGATTACTTAGATCTGGATACATTGGGAGATAATATCCAGGAAAGATAATACATTAACACAATAATGCAGTATATTTCAGTAAAAATAGAATAAATAAAATAATATTTAAGCTGTATTTAACAGGTTAATTAAAAATATGATAAGACATACACGGCATCGTGAACATGGCTGCCTGTTTACCGATTCACAGATCTAAAGAATGCATAGATAACTGAAGTGTCACTAAGATATCAGGTAAAACATTGGCATCCTTTCACAGACAAATACACACATACTTTCATACATACTTTTTGGCCATGGCAGAAAGTGTCTGAACATACTGTTTAACATAATCTTACAAAATTAATTTGCATTTACTATGCAATGCCATTTTCAAAATAACACATCTGCAGTAAAGTTTGTAAAGGCTATCATTCATCTTAATGTATCCTATAATTGCATATATAAATCAGTTTGCTACTTAAAGCTAGCTCAGTATTCTTGATCTTGAAAACAAGCAAATGTATGCCTTAAAAAATGAAGAGGGGGTTCTGGTAGAGATTTCCAATATAAAGAGGATCATTTGTTTAGAATTTTGAAGTTTATCACACTAAAATATTTCACTACGGAGACCAAGATGAAAGATCACTGTAAATGATTTTTGAACAGCTTTTCAAAGGGCACAGCAAGGATTTTCTTAATGCAGGAATTTCTTATGATGGCACTGGTTACTTTAAATAGTATATAAGTTGGTGAAAAATAGATTGCGTTTCTAAAGTAGCATCATTTTTGTCGTAACATTAGGGTGCAAAAACAATTCCAGTCCCCTGCCCCCCACCCCTTATGAATTCCAAGGGAATGGCAGGTAGAAAAGCCACCCACTCATTCCATCACGATCTCTGGTGGCTAAGTACCATGAGTTAGGAATGTCTCTACCACAAGTAACGTCATCTCTGGAAAATCTTGTAGATGGAACAGGCTGTGAATGTGGAATCCTGTCCTCTACAACACGTTTGAGGCACATTGTAGGAAAATAGTCCTGGACTTAGAGAGGGCAATGGCGTCAGAAATAATACCACTGCGTAAGGAATTTGGACATCTTCCTCCCACTTGTACAGGGAATTCTAAGATTGCCTGACAACAGATCTTTCCATACCTGCTCTTCTTAGTATATACCCAGAGTCATTCTGGAAAGGCTCTTCCTGACGGATATGGAGGCAGCATAACACAGCAAGAACGGGCGTCGGGAGCCGTGGGTCCTAGTCCTGGTTCTCTCATGAACTTTGGTGAGATCTTAGGCCAGTGGCTTTAGCCTCTTGGTACTTCATATTTTTACTTCTCAAGTGTGTTTAATACCTTCTCTACCTTATAAGGCTCAAATGTGAAAGAATGTGGAAAGCATTTAACAAGTACATAGCAGTGTATAAACAGAAAGCATTACTCTTATAATTGGATGTTGTAAATGTTAATTTTGACATTAAAAAGAAGTAAACAAGACTAATATTGAGATTGATCGCCTTAGTAACTTCCTTTTAAAACGACAATGTCAACAAGAGTCTAAATCTATATGTCTTTACAGATAAGTTTCTTATCTACATAAAAAGGAGCAGGAAAATGCTATTTTTGGGAAACTTGTTAAATAGTCCATTATTCCTAGGTAGACTTTGCTAAGATACGAAAATTTCAAATCTTCAAAGTAAAATGGAAAAAATATAAATTTAAAAATATATCTAGTTGAGTCCAACAAATTCTAAT